TGGATGTTGGGGAAGAGAGTGGGGGGGGGGGGGGGGGGGGGGGGGGGGGGGACACGACAGCTTACAGTATTTACTAGTATTGCTAAGTTGACGTGATAGTACCCTTATGGGTCAGGGCAAGCTCTATTCCCACTCTCCCCAGAAAAAATGTGAAAAAGGCCCCTCCAGCTTACCTGCATTTCAGCAAACGTCTGTGCATCTGTCAGCCTCTCCTGGCATCCTCTGTACCTGTTTCTGAAGTTTTGGGGTCAACATTCACTCTGCTGTACAGAAGTGGAAATAGTTTTGTATTTGTTTAATAAAAAAACCAACCAAACACACACAAAATTTCTAATACATTTCTGGGGGAGAGAAGAGTATTCTTTCAGTATTTTCCTTCATATCCTCTGGCTTATCACCTCCTTTTTGAGGAGAAAGCCCCTGAAGCAATGCTACTTTTCAGTCTGTCTGCTGCAACGGGGCAGGTGCGGAAGGAGATAGGTGAGGTCTGTTTCTAACTTAGCCATCAGTGCCCAGTCCCTCCTAAAGCAACCCTGTGAGTACTGAGCTCCCAGTAGCTGTCTCAAAAGGCATGTGCATCTCTCTCTCTAAATACATACAAAGACTGTTAAAGAGCAGAAGAGGGACAATGTTCCCTAATGGAAGTGGAATGAAGCATTAAGGCAAGTTGCTGTTCCCTCTGCTGTGTGGCATTAGATAACACAGATGTGTGGTGAAGGGATTAACTTGAAGATTACAGCAGCCAGCTATGTAAATACAGGCATACTAGTATTTAAAGGGGTGTAAGCTACTTCTCACTCCATGCAGAGATGCTTATGGCACCTCTTTTGGCCAGCTGCATTGACTATGTCTTAACTGAGCAAGACAGATTAAAAGATATTTTGGTCTTTTCAGGTTTTACGGAGCTGAAATTTTATGTGGGCTACAGTTTCTTCACAGCAAAGGCATCATTTATAGGTGAGTACCAACTAGCGCCAGCGTGGAACCTGCGAATTGTCTTAGCACTTCACACATCTTTGAGTTACTGACTGATGTAACATGTAAAAGCTGTCTGTCAGAGACCTGATGTTATTCCGAGAGCATTAACGTGCCTGAGATGAATCTATATCTGTGTGTCTTTTCCTTGGCAACCAGAATGATGGAATGTTATTTGTGTTACACAAAAGTGGTTTTGTTTCAGTTATTTTTAAACACTGCCTTCAAATCATGAGTCCATTTAGTTTGGAGGCAAGGGAGAGGGGCCTTGAGGCTGTCAATTCCTCTGGCCTTGTGAAAACCACCGAGGTGAAAGTTGTCTGCTTTTGCCTTCCCCTGAAACCACGATATTGATGATATTGATGCTTCTCCCTCCCCAGGTTGAAACATCAGGGGCCAGGTGCCAATCAGCTGCTTCTTACTGTAAACACCCACACTACAAGAGATCAGAAGTTTATTTTAATGTCTCTCCATTACCTTTCTCTGGCCTTTTCACCCCACCCCCAGCTTCAGAGCACCATGTGGTAACTCCTTGCTCGGGCAGCTCTTACCTCTGTAACAAAGAGGTACAAAGAATAACGGCTGCGTGCTTGAGAGCACAGTATGCAAGGCCTTAGGTGAAGGTGCCCCAAAACATCTCCCTTTATAGAAACAGGCAGCATCTATTGGAGCATCCATCCTTTAAAGCAATTTTCTGAAGTTAGACACTAGTAAAAAAGTGTTTGGAAAGAGGCTGAACATCACAGGAATCCTCCTTGGTGAAGAAAGACGATTCTTACAAGCCTATCTGCCTCTCAGAGAAGACGGCCGTAACCCAGGAAGGTACTTAACGCACCCAACTGTATTCCCGCTGCCTCCTGCAGGTTTTTATGCAGGAAAAGATCAACCTCCAGGATATGTTGTCATCAGCATGTTGACATCCTTCCATCCCAGATTTGCTAGAGCATTTTTAGGCTTGCTGTTAAATTTCCCTATGTTAAATTAGAATGTTCCTGGAGGGAGATTTCACAGGATGAAATATTTTCAGAGAAATGGTACCATTTTCCAACAAGACACCAGCAAAACCAAAGGTACATTTTTTTTTCCCCCCGCCTCACAGAGGATGTTTACCAGTATAATCACAGAACCTGACTGGAGCAGTTTTAGGTAGCCGTTGCATATCAGTGCACACCCATACAAAAGATTTTTAGAACCTGTTGTAGCTAGGTAAGTGCGGTGCCCTAAGTTACAATGAGTTTTCCCCATCTCAAATATATTCAATTTACTCAGGTGAACAGCAGCTCACATCCAAACATGGAAGGATTTATGGCGCGTTGCATTAGATCAGGGACTCTTGGTTCGAGCTGCAGCTCACGTCTGAGCCGCGTAAGTAGCTGATATGGAGAACTTCAGTTACCAAGGAGAAAAGACTGCCCCGTTCTCATGTAAAATTATCTGCTCTATTCAAGTCTTTCTTGGTAAGCAGAAGGGCTGTTCAGTTTCTCTTCAGCCTGCCCTCCTTGGTATGTGCTTTTGCAGCCAGATGGACAAAAAAATGCATCACAGTCAAAGGGAGGGAATGTAGGTTTTGGAAACTGCTCTTAAAAAGCTCTTACTTGATTGAATAGTGTTATTCTGAAAAAAGACACGAATAGGACACTTCACAGACTGTGGCCGCAACACGTGACCCCCCTTGTGCTGTAACCAGGAACAAGTCACAGGTTGTATTAAAAATCAGACAGATTTCAAACATTCATGGTCCTGCCAAATACTCTGACTCCAACAATCCTCCTTTTCAGCTACGGAGTTGGTGTAGCACTATGTCAGCTGGTGGGGCATTAACTCATGCCTCCTTCCAGAAGCAACAGAAGCAGCAGGTGTGCTTTTGGATCTGAAAGCAAATGTTGAGGATTGTAAGGTCACACACTCTATATACACCTCAGCCTCTTATTTACTCTGACAAGAGAATTCTTCCCTTCTCTCTGCCGCCTTTGAAGTACAAAAATACTATTTTGTATGTATTGTGTTGATGGATGATTATTTTCTTGATAAGCTTCTTTGTATGATGTAGGGTAGGTGTTTATCAGTGAAGAAACTGCATGCATCTGAATACAAAAATGACCCACTTGTCCTTAAAACATAAGTTTGGGGGTTTTTTTAACACTTTTTGCAGAGACCTAAAACTGGACAACGTGATGCTTGATAGAGAAGGCCACATCAAAATAGCTGATTTTGGAATGTGCAAAGAAAACGTTGTTGGTGAGAACAAGGCAAGCACTTTCTGCGGGACCCCAGACTACATTGCTCCCGAGGTCAGTATCATACTGTCACGTACTGCTGGGATGGATTTAATACACCGATGTTAGAGTGGCCATTGTGATTAATCGTCCTTTTGCAGACTAACAGTTCAGAAATGTTAAAGTCTAATTAGCACAGAAAAAAACAACATTAAATCCAAGTTCTCTGTAGAAGGTACTTGGGACTTGTAAATATTCTATAGTTGCAAGCTTAAAAAACCATGGTTTTGAAATGTTAAAATGTTTGGGTTTTGAAGACCTGGTTTTCCCTTATGCCTTTACAACTAGCATACAGATGGGGCTCCTGCAAAATGAATCTATTTGCACTGCAGATGCTGAACAGACTCGTGCCCATGCAAACAACCAAAATTCAAAGCAAAAGCAGCTTCTAAGGGGAACCTCACAACCTTAAATTCCCTGTGTTCATAGTTGTTTTTTTAATCTGATTTGCAAACTAGTCCCAATAAGGTAGTTAGCTGTTAAAGCTATAAATGATGTCAGAGTCTGTTCCGTAGTAATCTACTTTTCATTGCTACTTGCTTCTCCCTTCATCTTGTAAAGAAACCAGAGATGTTTTCCAAGTATATGGTTATTTAAAGTTAATGGGAGAAAACTTCTGAATGAGAGCCAAGGCCTTTCCACTGAGCTGTCCACGTTTCCACGAACAGCAGCCAAGGATAAAACTGCAGATGTGCACCAGTGTCAACAATACGTCAAATACCTGGATTTCCCCCCACCCCCGTAAACATTCTAGTTATTAAAGATTTTCTCTTAAAATCCCCCTTCTGTTTTTTGGTATATATTGCTGCCTTTTACTAATTACTTGTATTTCTTCCTCTGCACTTTTTCTGTGGAAAAAGATCTTGCAAGGTTTGCGGTACACATTCTCTGTGGACTGGTGGTCGTTCGGGGTCCTGCTGTACGAGATGCTTATTGGACAATCCCCTTTCCATGGGGATGATGAAGATGAATTGTTTGAGTCAATCCGAGTGGACACCCCTCACTACCCACGCTGGATTACCAAGGAATCAAAAGATATATTAGAAAAGGTAGGACCGATGATCAGCAAGTGTGTCTCGGTACTGTATTTGTCCAGGGAGGGACAATCTAGGCTTTTAAAAGGAGCTGTTTATCAGCAAGCAAAGTACTTTTACAAATGGGAAGCCAGGGCAGATTAATTACTAATGGTCTCTTTACTGTAAGCAACTTCTGTTCTTTTAGCAGTATACCCATTATTCTTCCACTGCCACCTACCTTTTGAGCAGAGGTAAGGCCTTACCGGGTTATCTTCTCTTGCAGCTATTTGAAAGGGACCCAACAAGACGACTTGGGGTCACTGGGAATATCCGAGACCATCCTTTCTTCAAAACCATCAACTGGACGGCGCTAGAGAAGAGGGAGGTGGACCCTCCTTTCAGGCCAAAAGTGGTACGTGGGTTGTTCTTTGTTCTGTAGCAGTATCGCAAGTGTCAGCCTACGGGTAAGGGAAGGTTTCTCTAACTTGCTCAAACTATCCTACTGCAAGTTTCTCCCCAAATTTTATAAATGAGATAGTTATGTATCTCAAACCCCATTGTTCTTGGATGGTTCGGCTATAAAAAGGTACACTATGTTCCTCTGACTGCCCTGAAATCTTGCTATTAAGACTGTCTTCCTGTACTCTCTCAAGGAGCTTCTTTACTAATACCATCTCCAGGAAAAATCAACTCATAGTTCTGATATCCGTTCTCCTTGATGTTAGAAACATTGATGGTTTCTCGCATTTTTCTCTTCTGTAATGCCATGTGGGAGAAGGACCAATAACTTGAGGCTGCTGCTCAGTTGGCAAATGCCTGCAGGTGTTCTGTACAAGCATTAAGTATGTGCTGTTTCAGACTTGTCCGAGTGTCTCAAATGGAACTATTTGTAATGTACATGCCTAATGTTACCTGAGAAAAACATCTAAGGAGCAGACCGTGCGTTACTCGTAGTCTGTATCGCCATGGGATGCTGCTGCTTTATCTCGCCTGGTTAAAAATCCAAACCAGTCTTCCTCCAGCCTGTACTGGTACAAGTGAAATGATCTGGAGGTAATGCGGTCTCTTTAAAAACGTACTGACGTGCTCGATGGAGGAGAGCTGTCCTGTTCAAGAACAGGCGGCTTCATGTTGCATATTCCCATAGAAGTGGGAACGTAAGGATCCTACAAGCAGTAACCGTTGGAGGTTCAGAGTGTAAAACATGGTCTTTAGTAATGTGAATTTTCATGAAACATGCACAAATATTTTATCCAGACACAAAGCAGCTGCAATAGGACAATGCTTCTTTCTCTGAAAAAGGACAGACTGCAAAATGCTTTCAGGGCCTTAAAAATTTTGGTTAATGGCAAGAAATGTTGGGCTTAAATGTAAGTGCCACATTGCTTTTGTCAATAGAGAATCTTTGGATAATTCTACAAAAGGTTATCACAAATCCAGGTGGTTCTTCTCCAAAGCGACCTGGTGCTATTTGTTTTCAACTAACAACAAGGAATTGCCAAGTTATAATCTTACAGTGTTGTTAAAATCTGCAAAAAGGAGATTTTTCTCTAAAGTGACCTTTCATATTTAAGCAATTTGTTCTGGAAGAAATTGCAAAGTTTGTCTCCAGCTGTCTTCCCTCTCTGTTTAACACAGAAGTCAGCAAGCGACTACAACAACTTTGACAGAGAATTTCTGAGTGAGAAGCCAAAATTGTCCTACAGTGACAAAAACCTGATCGAGTCCATGGATCAGTCTGCATTTGATGGATTTTCTTTTATTAACCCTAAATTTGAACAGATCTTGGACAAGTAAGTCTCTGAACAGGGCCGGACTTTAAAGGAGGTTTAAACGTTATGAACCGAAAACTCCCAAGTGCTAAGTGTTAGGCGTTCCAACGATGTTGTCGATACTTCAGAGTAACACAGTAGTGTGATTAATGACATCCAACTGCTGATTTATTGGCAGTGTTCTTTTATGCATGGTTGGGTTTAAGGTATGTGAATCGTGTGCATTATTTTCTCTATTTGGGAAAATGTAAATTCTGTTTGGTACTTGAATGTAGTTATGTGATATATATATATATATGTTGTATATTTTGCTCGAGAGAAGACATTGGGGAACAGAAGATGTCTTTTTAAAAAGTGTTTGAGCCCTTGGTTCTTTTATTTGTCTTCAATTAAAAGAAAGTTACATTAACCTTTCATTCATGGCTTTTGGTTTTTTTCTAGAATATACAATTAAACTCCAGTTGTCTTCAAACTACAGTAAAAAAATAATAATTTGAAAGCCCTTGATCACTTCCAAAATAACACAAACATTTGGAGAGAATTAACCAAAATGAAGAATTAGGCAAAAGCAGAGATTCAGTGTAACGACAGCTGTGGTGGGAAACAGCTCAGTGCTGCTCTACCTACTTTTCATAAAGCCTGTCTCTCACCTGGAGTCGTCAGTGCCAAGCAGAGTCGGGCTTCAGTGATCCTGCTCAATATTTATTCTGAGGCAGTACAAGCGTAAGACAGCCAGGCCCGGGCATCCTGCCTGGCAGCGCCAGCTTCTGCTGTTAAACACCACTTCCTATTAACCGGAATATGCCATTTGGTCACAGCAGCTTCCCAGGAGAAAAGCATCAGGTAACGACCGTCTGGAGCATTAGGACCACTTGCCTGCTCTGCCGGGGAGGAAGCATCTTTCCAGCTGCCAAGCACCACATCTTTCTTCCAGTTTTATTTGCTTGTTTTCACTACAGCAGCTGTGGCTCCTTCTACTTGTTGTGAAAAGGGCACAAAACTAGATCCTGCTTTGTTGCAATACCTACTTCTGAATTTTGATTTTTTTACCATTAATGACAAACAAAAACTAATGTTAACTACTGCAAAGCTCTTTCCAAAACTCTTCTCCTTGCAGTCAGCTCATAAAATACAGAATAAAGCAACGTCCCTTGCATTTCAAAAGCTTTCTATATCTTGTACCACTATTGCAAATGATTTAATTTTCTCAACCACTAAGCAGGTGGGGAAAAAAAAAAAACAACGTATTGGTGAGTATCAGTTTGTCCAACAATTACACAATGCTACAGAGCTCTCAGGAGCACCCTGTAGCTTCTGGGTAGTTCCAGGCTGTTAATGCTGCTGAAAGAGCAGGAGAAGGCTCTCACCCACCCCCCAGTAAGACTTCATAAAGACAGATTCAAACAAATACAGTGCCACCTTTGTTCTTCTTCTAAACAGCCACTCTAGCTTATTTATTGTGGTCATTCAAGAAATGCCAGTTAAGACTTGGATGTCATCTAAGTGTACAGCAGATTGAGGCTGGAATAGTCAGAACACAGCTGGCATTTCCAAACAGACGGGGTTTACCTCCTTCCCACCGCACGCACTGTCAGAGGGGGAGCAAACTGCGCACTGCGAGTTACTGCCAGGCAGAGCAGCAAACTTGGGTTTTTTCCCCCTTCATTTCTGTTCCGCCACTTTCACCAGAAAGTTATTCTGCTTTCAAAGGCAAGTGCTGGATGCTTGTACCCAAGCAGAAACGCTTTTCTAGATACGTAGTTACAGATGGGGTTGCCAAAGGCATTGGGTATTTGACAGCAAGAAGCTGTAATGAATTACAAGAAGTAATTGTCGCTTGTGGGAATGTTTGCTCGCTGCACTTACCTGCTTCGCTCTGGAGTAATGGGTGCCAAACCTGCTCAAGAGGGACCTGGGTCTTCACACAGCAACTCTTTCAGCTGGTACTTGACCGGCGGCACCTCCTGCTGCTGCACGCGCACCTTCTGACAGCCCGACTGCGGGGCAGAGACGCCTTTCCTCCGCGGAGCAGGTACTATAGTCCTCCTCAGCAGCAGCACCACACTGTTTAGCCACGGGCATTACATCAACTGCGCCCCCTGAACGGGGAACTGCCCTGCCACCAACCTCGGCTGGTTACAGCAACCAGAAGTGACATTTCCACAGGTCACGCAGCCTCGGGGACCTCCTCCGCTGAGCGGCTGTGCCCGAGGGCCGCCTGGCGGACAGCAAACGGATGGGTTCCCGCAAGCATCGCGCTCTGGGCCATCCTCACGCTACAGGGAGACGGAGGTATTAAAGAATTTTGTCCAGAAAGCACCCCAAAAGCTCTGAAACAACCAGCCAACATTACCTCCCACACAAACATAAATAAATGCACAGTAGAGTTAAAAATGAAGAAAACACTCCTTCCACCTAGCAGAGAAGATACAAGCGGTGACCACCCAAGAGTCTACGGTGATCAACAAGACATGAAAATCTGAGTACATAATAATTCTAAACCACAAAGTAGTAATTAATTTTGTCCTTATCCTTCAGAATGACAAGTACCACTGCAAATTTAATGCCATCTACCTAACCTATACATGCAAATTTGTACTAGAAGGCAGCATTTTGCTGTTGGTTTTCAGCTTTCTCAAAACAGCAGCAGCAGCATTTGGAAGACAACATAAGAACAGTGTAGCTTTGAGAGTGTAGATCAGATCTTACACTACTGATGACCAGGTAAAATTAATGAAGGCTCACCTTTCTCCTCCGTTGCGTGCAAATCTTCACTTGTATTTATTCAATACATTCTTCCAATATCTTCCCCAGTTACTGAGTTTGTTACTCCAATTATAATTATTTGTCAGAGTAAAGCAACCGATGGAATAAATTAACTTCATTCTTATGCCTAACCAAGCTACCCTTCCTACGCGTCCAAAAGCTATGGAAACCTTCTGACCTGCAGGAACACTCACCCGGCGCTTCAGCTGCGGTAAACGGGCACGGAAAGAAACACAGCAGCACACGTTGTAGCATTTGATCTTTATTACTTGGATCAAAGGTCAAACGATTACATTTGTTTGAAAGATTAGGACGAAGGCCAACGATGTAAGAAAAGAGAGTTTAATCCCATCTGAGAGACTGCGTCTGAGCTAGCAAGTGCATTAACAGTCAGAAGGCAGTAAAATAAACATGGGTACAAATACACAAGGTCAGGACGAGGGTTTTCACCTCCCGTCAGTGACGGTTCCGTCAGGAGGGGGGGACGTACGCAGCTTGAGACAGCGGCAATAATCTGCAATTAACAGTGCCTTTCCAGAAAGGTGGTTACGCCCCGGGCAGAACCCATCACTCGCTTCAAATCTACATTCGTTGCCTACACTTGCTCTTGCCAGCTAGAAAGGGTGGGATGCAGTCAATGATTTAGTACCTTCCTAAAGTAGAACAGACAACTTCATGGTTTTTTTCTCTTCAAGTATCAGCATAACAGATTATTTACACTTGTATACAATTCTTTTTACTGAACACCCAACTTAGTAAAACACTCATCACAGTATGTTCAAAAGCAGGCTATAAAAATACCTACTATACATAAAACATTTAGCCTCAAGGAATTTTTACAGCACCTCCGAAAGTTGAGAGAGGTAAAACAAAGAAAGGGAGAGAGGGGAGACACCTCAAGCCGTGCTGGCCGCTGAAGAGAAGCAGCCCTGGGGCTCAGCTCTCACTAGGGAAAATCTTTCTGTCCACCACGTTCCTGCAACCAGGTCTGAGCTCAAGAAGTGCCGCGGTCTGCCGGTAAAACCCTGCTGTTCCGATACAGTCTCCTGGGATTCGCCCTCTAACTACAGATAGACTTTCTCCATTTACAAACTGTTGAACAACTCCTGGTCGCAGCTGGACAGCGGAGGCCCGGAGGAGCGAGGGCTGGCTGGAGCACAGCCCGGCCTTTCCCACGCTCAACACACGTCAAATCGGGAGGGGAAATTACTTCTACGTTTTTGCCACGAAGGTGGCCTTGTTAACTGTGCATCAATAAATTAACTTCTCTGAGCAGCGCTGTGTGGTCTCTCTCCTCACACAATAGCTACGGACACAGCTGAACTAATAAAAGATCTGAAATGGGCCTTGCCAAACGCATGGATCGCACGCACAAAGCTTTAGACAGCAGCGCTTGAAGCAAGTGTTTCTGGTCGTTCCGTACCCTACGCATTCCTCTCCTGAAATGGAACCCAGCGATACAGTATGGCTTACTTCCAGAGCTGAATATATTGCTGAAATTAGCTTATTAAAACAAATAACAACAGCAGCACGTTATTTTATAAACCCTGCACAAACAAAAGACAAATTTAGCCCTTGCCTGCAAAACTACATTATGAGGGCCCAGTATTTCACACAGGAATTGAGAAAAAGGGAAAAAAAAAAAAAAACAAACCAAACCCAAACAACAAAATAAAACAAACCCCGACAACATACATGGTAAAAGCTCTGTTAGTTGAACAGAAGTCCTCAGAAAAAGCACAGTCCAACTACCAAAGAGTAGTTCTCCTCAATTCAGAACTAGGAGCCAGCAGCAGCGCTGGCAGCTTGCTTCAGTTGTCTGGTAACACACACAGAAAATACACATTGATTTAGTACAGTTAAAAGGTCGTGGCCTCAACAGACATAGAAAATCCCATTTTTAGCACTGGAGTTTCACAAGGTATAAAAGAGCAGCAAAGAACTGGGATGGTGGAAGGTGCTAAAAAGCAACACAAAAAAAACCCAAGGCAGGTGTGCCATGTTAAAAATAATTTCAGAATTTACCTGGTGTTTTTCTTGCATGAGCTGTTAGAAGGGTTAAATTCCACCTAACCTTTCTGTACTGTTTCCTGATGTACGTATTAAATGTGGCTATAAAAGGGAAACACATACTTTTATGTAGAAATTCATTCCAAGAATTGCCTAAAAAAAAAAAAAAAATCAATCACAGCACTAATAAGACAAGCAGCTTCTCCAGCCCTTGACAGTCTGAATCCTTTTCCCCTCCCTTCCAGTCGCAGAAAAGCTGCTCATCCCCTCCTGTAATCACAGCAGAAAGGACGTCTCTCTCTCTCTCTCTCTCGATTCATTACCCAGACTGCTAGCTATACTCACACGTCCACCATTTAATACTGTCTTCCACTGCCCTCCAAAATACAGCTGGCCCCTGGAAAACGTTAAAATCTTGCTAAAACAGCAGACTCTTTCATGTAGCAAATCTAGCTTTAATGCTTCTATTTTACAAGAGGAAAGTCTCCCCATTTCAGAAAAATTTAAGTTGTGTTTGGCAAACTGAAGTTCACTTTAAAACACGGAAGCTAACAGAGCTGATAGGCTTGCCCATTTAAAGTAGTTTTGCAACATGAAGCCTCCAATGCTCAAAATGCAGAATTTCACTTATGTTAAATATGCCATCAAAAAAATCTCCATGTAATTCGAGGCAATCATTCACAGTAAAAATAAGAGGAACTCTTAGAAAAGCACTTAAAAAAAAGTAAAATCTAGTTAAAATCTGACAGTAAAATTGACACGGGCAATGAACCATCTTGCAGTATCCACAGATGAACAATAAAAACCACTGAAACTGCACAAATTTACATACGAAAAATCTAAAACCAACTCTACTCTGTTTCCCATAAATCTTTTTACTGATACCTTTCGGCACTGGGAGTTATCCAGAACTACAGGTTTTCTCCAAAGAAGCTGAATCACATTCGAAATGTCTTAAAAGTGAAGGGGAGGCGCGTTCGTTCCAACTCGCTCGGCGCTCAGCGACGCCTTCTCCGTTCTCCTGGACCTGAGCTGCTACTTAACGCTCTTGTGATGGAGGAAGGGCTGCCGCCCCCAGGAACTGGAGCTATAGGTGGTTGGGTACTGTCCTCAGAGCTTCTTCTCTTGACCGATCCACACCTACATTCTGCAAATTTTAAGAAAAAAGATTGTAAAGCAAGGCTCTCATGGTCAGCTGTAGTTTTGCTTAACACACGGCTATTAGACGAGGCAAAAGATGAGCAAGTTTTAATGCTTATTTCCTCAAAATGTTTTGTAAAACACAAGGAAAGGTCCCAGCCCGTGAGCAGAAGTCAGAAGCCAGGCTTAGACCTCGTCCCAGCCGCTACGCGCTTTGCAGAGCCCAAGTTCCTCAGATATCTAAATGCAGGCTCTTCCCTGCCAGTGAAAAAGCATCTCTAAGACATGTATTGCACCAGGTCTGGTAGGAGAATCGGTCTCAGTACACCATATGCAGGTCACAATGTTACGGTTTTTAAGACTTTTTTTCCTTTAACCACCATTTTTAACCACATTTTTCTAATCCACTCTCTCTTCTAGTCTTTTCGCATATAGTATAAGAAAAACAGAACCAGACAGCAAAGGTCATAAACCACACGAGAACTGACAAAATCTGGAGGGAGGGAAGCCCACCTCTCCTCCTTTCGAGCACATTCCAGGAAATGACTCCTTAACACCAAGAGCTATAAAGCTAATTCTGATCCTGTCTGTAAGCAGTTAAGTCACTGGAAGGACTCCGAGTAACTCCCTAAAGAGCTGGTAACGAAGTTTAAATGCACTTCAGGATACATAGGCATGTTGGCAGATGTCACACTGACATCAGCTGTCAGCGGTTTTATAACCACATTTATTAGAGTTTACTTTGAAAACAAGCGTCCTCAGTCCAACCCAAGGAAAAGGAGAGCCCCACTAGCACACAGCGAGGGGGACTCAGCACACGCTCCCAGACGGCATACGCACAACTCCATCGGTCAAAACGCATCGACTTAAAAAGGAAGTCATCCCCTTCCTCAACCCCAGTTTCTAGGATTTTCAGCCATTTCTTACGAAAACAGGAGACAAACAAGCAGCACCAGATTTGATTTGGGGGCTGAAGGGTGCCAACATCACTTCTGCCCTTACCAATTCGCCTACATTAGTGTCAGCCCTTTCCTTTCTCATCAGCCTTCAAGCCCTTGGGTGAATCACGCTGTTCTCCACCATAAACACGCCACACCGAGGTTTCTGAGAACACACGCACAAATGCTGCTGGGCACAGTCGTCCAAGTCCTGGAAATCCGCACCCACCAACACACTGCCCGAGCCACTCTGACCTCTCTCTTTGAAGGACAGAAAAGCAACAACCCTTTTTCAGAAAGAAGCTTCTACAGGTAGCACCTCTTCTGCAGCAAAGGACGCACAGAAAGCGTCAGCATCTAGGAACATGAGGAGCTGGCGAAACAAGTCACGTTCTGCGTGACTACAAGGAGGAAAAAAAATACAACAAAACATGCTGGCATCTGTTGCATTTGTTTGTATTTTTCTTAGTAACTGATGCAACATACCCAGAAATTCCTTGGGACTGCGGAGACGTCTCCACAGGCACTCCAAGAATATTGGCTGAAATCTTTTAAGCTGAGCATCTGATGTTGATTTGAAGAAAATTAAATGGAGCATGAAATGGAGCATCAATATGCAGGAATCCAGAGGTACTGGAAATTAGTCCACAAGCAGCAAGAACTAGACAGATATAACGTGAAACTAAAAGGAAACAAGGTGGTCAAGACAAGGCAGAAGATACAGCTTATTGAAGTCAATGAGAGGCATCAGATGAAAACAGCATCTTAACAACTGAGGCAGACCCAAGAGGGAATACTGATATGCAGTCAAGAAAGTTGAAAGCAAAAAGTGTTTCAATTTGAGTGAATGTGAAGGAGAACAGGCTGCAGAAGCAAAGCACTGAACTGTCACACTGAAAAATGAAAACTCTGTCTGGGATAAACCCTAAAAAACACACCCTAGGGCTTATTAGACAAACGGAATACCTAACTGCGAGACCAGATGAACCGAGGCTTAGAAAAGGACTAATATCCTCATTAATGGTAAAGGGATTCCTGCTCATAGGAATCGCATTAGATGAGACGATGGCAGCTGGGATTGTACCCGCTTCCCGAATAGCCATGGGCATCAAGAGAGAAAAGCCATACAACAAGAACAGTGCTGCTGCTTAGAAAGACGACCGAGGTTTTAGCCTTACTTTTGGGACCAAAAGGTGTCCCTGCAACTGTCCGGCACTGCCGTGCGAAAGCACGCCTGGACAAACCTGCCGTCCTGGGAACTGCACTACCACTGCCGTGCACCAGCAGCAACACGGCCCAGAGAGCCCAGGAAACACAGGAGTGGCAATAAAACCACCACGCACCTTTTTTAAATATTATTTCTACTAAGGCACACGGGCTCTCCCTCAGTCAGCCCGGGCAGGGGCTCGCTGCTTCCAGAGCCGGCTCCCCGAGGAGGCTCAGCGCTCACCGGGGCAGGAGCGGTCTCGCTCTGCCTTGCACAAGGGTCCAGCTCACCCAGTCCTCTCCAGAAAGACTCAAAACACAGATTAACTCACACACGCTCTTACACCACTGCTCTTCCTCTCCTCGCTATACTCCTCCCTGCTTTGTACATCTTTTTTCCTACAGAACAGAGCCTCCCCCAGAAACAAAGTCCTATGGGTTTCTGAACAGGCAGAGCCTGCCACTTCAGTTTCATTTCGATTAGCTACATGCAATCTTCACAGTAAAACAGGAAGATTTTGCAGGAAGGCTCCTCCAGGGAAAAGGAGGAGCCTCTAGGGAAAAGAACCAGCACAGGCATAAACAGAGAAATAAACAGCACAATATAAACAATCCAGTACTCTTATGAGCCAGCTTTCCCTCAGCAGGCTGTGCCACAAACCATCACTGCCGCTTCCCGCCCCGCATCAGGCCTTTCTTTTACTAAGAAAAGCCAGAGAGGATTATTAAGCAATCCCGCGGTAATAGGAGACCCCTTAGAGCGCAAAACTGCTTGTAAATATCCACTTCACTCCGTTGCCCACATCAGCACAACGAGCATCACGCTCAGCAAAGAGAACAGCACGCAGCCGCAGCCCCGGGGGACGGGCTGGCAGGGATGGAGGGGCCTGGGCGCTTCTGCCACTTTCCCCCCCCTCCCGCAACCTCCGCCGGCCACAGAGCAGGCAGGCCTGGCTCTCCTCTCTGGCCAAGTTTCTGCCCCTTCCATCTTCCCCCTCCGTTTCCTCTGACAGCCCAAGCCATCCTTTTTCAAGCAGCAAAACTCAGTTTTTCCACAGCAGAAGCCTGCGCAGATTTTTGGCTCCATCAAAAACGTAATGCATTTAGTTTAAATCTGCACAGTATTTCCTTAGTCGTGGCCCAGGGTGGTGAGAGCAATTCCCAAGCCATCTCGGCGCAGTTTCTCGGTACCCAACTATGGCCAGCGTCCCGGCGACCTCCCAGGGATGTCACCTCAGCTGCCAGGTAAAAGCAACCGGACTCACTATTGATGTGTGCAAACGGGTACTGCAGGCTCAGATCCCCGCCTCTGTGGCATTTTTCACGGCAAAGTACGTGCCAAGAGGCTGGGGCAATTAAACACGGAGAAGCGACAAAACACTGCCAACGTCACGGTCACAACAGAGAGATAATCAGGGTTTCCCCAGTCCCAGCCCATCCTGGGACACTGGTTTAACTAAATACCAAGTGGTACAGCGGGAGGCTCTCTGGCCAGGAGGTTATTTGGTTATATCAGACATTCCCAATGGCTACAAACCTCCGAAAACTTTAGTGTAATTTTAGAAGCGCAGATACATTAACACTTTTTTTCCCGAAATCCCGGTTTTGGAAAAACGTACCACCTGAGAAACCTAACAGGTAAAAGCATTCCACAACACGCCACTCTTGCTTACTTTAAAGACTAAAAGACCCCCTCAGAAGACAGTTTCAGGACTTGGTGATTTTCTGCCTTTCCCAGACTCGATGCTACCTAAACAAAGCTGCTTCAATGGCACAGATGCTTCCCACTGCCTCATTTTGCCCACCGTAACATCACAGAGAAAGGAGCCAAGGCATCTCGCCACATCTCGAACAAGCTGCAGTCACCTCCAGCTTGTGAAAGGTTTTGCTGTAATTCAGTTTAGGATGCATACCCTGCTGGTTTGGGATCCAACGCCTACTGGAGCCACAACTCAGCTACAAAATCATCAGGCTAACTCTGCTTCCACATTCTGAAACAGTCAACTGCTTATTGTAGCCTAGATAAAATCTGGGTACAAAACATACGGAGCAGAGCTGTAAATGCTTGTCGATCAGCCATGTCTGTACAAGCAGCAGGAAAAGAGGAAATGTAAAATCCCTTCTGCCAGCGGGCAAACCCTAAAGCCTAGTTAATGCAGAACAGCTGTTAAGAAAAGTCGTATATTAAAAACATTCATGCACATTCCTGTACCTTGAATAATTGTTCTGGAACTAAGTGAAAACTCGCTACCGTCTTCAAACAGCACATCATTAATTAGCACATTTAGAGCGCTAGTGCTATGGATCAGCAGGATTAAGGTTTTACAGTAACTATGGATTATTTTACGCTACATAGCAGTCCAATCACTCCCAAGGGCACTGAAATAGGTAAGACTGGTGCCTAGAAAACAAACTTCAACTTTTTCTTATCTCACACAGGATGTTGCGTTTCATGGCTTTCATAAGCAAATACACTGCAACTAACATTAAACGATCGTTGGCTGTTACAATAAAACTTAATGCTGCAGGATCTTTAAATTATAGCAATTTACAAAAACAGCATTCCAGTGACAGCCGATCAATGTTTGATAACTCATCCACAATAAATTAACCAGTGCAATACAGTTTTATTGTGATTTGATAGTTTTTTCAAGTCATGCGCTGTACAAACATTTGGTTTGGGTTTTGAGTTGTTGGGTTTGGGTGGGGCTTTTTTATTTCAAAGTGATTGGAATGATTAGTTTTTCAATTTATTTTCAAGTAGTAGGATGAAAACAGCACCCCAAGTTCGATAGTTGATCAGCACACAGGATTCACTGATGAGCAGGGACTGTTACAAGAGCGTCCTCGGGAGGTCTGGAAATGTCTACATTCTGTGTAATAATAAAAATACAGAGGAGAATTTTTATCATGCAGCAGTAAGAGCAACAAAAATACCAATCAGATTCCTTCACAAGTACACAGCTGCGTTTATCGAAAAGCAGAGATTTCTTTTTAAGCCCCCACACCCCGAGAACGCAGCAGACTGACAGCTGGTTGGTGTCCCAGAACTAGACAGCACGAAAACATATTTACAGTAATTGCTGATCCCATGCTGGTAATATTACCAAAAGCTCGAGTCATTCATGTTTAGGAGGAAGTCTTTTACAGGCCCAAGCAGGAATCCACTTAAACACATGCTTCAGCACATACACGTCTATCCATTAAGCAACTTTCAGTGCTTTGTTGAACTATGCCATATACTTCTTTCCCAAGGGAAACATTTGTTTGCGTTATAGGCAACGTACTACACCTGACAAAACAGAAAAATCTTTTCCCAGGCGCCTTAACCGTTCAAGACTGGTCACACCAACTAGATCTCACCTCATTTTGCAGAGGTTGTAGTAAAAAAAAAAAAAAAAAAAAAAAAAGACATTCAATGCAGCAAATTATTCAAAACCAAACAAAACCAAAACACCAGTGCAGCCAAACGCTCACGCTAGGAAGCACAGCTTTGAGTGCAGCAGTGCAGAAGCAGGCTCAGGAATCACGCCTGCCATGGAGCCACCTCATGCAAGTTCCAAAGACTGCAATTAGTATTCTCCCTTCTCCCAAGAAAGGAGACTACAATCAACTGTTCTGAAGTTCTTTTCAAGATCTTGATCTAAGATTTAGCCCATTATAGGCCCAATCACTGCCAGTTCTTCGAACTTCATGCTGATGGTCTTCATGAGTCTTACTTGTTTTACACTGTTGTAAGTAAACTCAGCTTTCAGTAACATCTCCCTCTCCCCTTCCACCCACAACATCACAAAGGAGATCCGAGTTTCTTGCTACGAGCAATCTCCCTATCTGTCATTCACTGACTAAGACAGAGGTGAAAAGCAGATAGACATTTTACCCCAGTGCTTGTTTTCTGGCCCAAAGAAGGGACCCAAGCAACAGCTGAAGTAATTCCCCTGAATTCTTTTCAGTAAAAAGACTATAGACTCCTTCATTTGAAAAGGTCAGGAACTTAAGCCACTACAATGCTGACAAACACAAGGCTTCAGTCCACTTCAGACAAATCGTGATCATACAATGATGTTTACACATACTATAAACAAATACTCTAGTACTTTGCCTGCATTTCTACAATGTGGAAATAGATGCTTTCAGCTGAAGCTGTGAGTGTGCTGTTCTGAAACACGGGCTACAAATTACTTGTGGGGGCACAGAACAGCACACTGGGCAATTCTTAATCAAATAGTTTCATTGTTTAACAGTGTTGTTATCTGAGACGCTGTATTTAATTAAATTCTTTGACTTCAATAGACTATTTGAAATTTTAATTTTACATAATTAATTAACATTTTCGTAGGTGATGTAAATGAAAGCTTTTGAAATTTTCATAGCCCTTTGAGCAGCATTTAAATGCAGACAGGATCAACTTAGTCCTTCATTCAGCCCTACTAAACGAACAGCGTGTCATCACCCATACTTCACTAGCCTGGGCTTCTTTGGGGACAGAGGGAGAAGAGCGTTTGGGTATGTTTAATAAAAATGTCTCTGCTCCTTTTTTTCCTTTTTTAAAATTCATTAACTCAATTTACTTCTGTTCTAAATAAACAGTTTTCTGTTTGTGCATCCACTGCAATTCAACTGTCTGCAGGATCCTCTACATGCATCTGAAATACAACCACCCAACACCAACGTTGGTATGGCCACATCACTCGCTAGACATGTTAAGAGTCACTTGGTGATTCAGGCAGAGCTTCCCCCTCGCAATAAGCACCTTCAGTTAGAGAAGTGATATTTCCAATAGCAATTCCCAAGACACTTTAGCAAGCTGTAAATTCAGCACCAGTATTTTAACAGCCAAACTGAACATGTTCAGTCGATCTACATCATTTAACACAGATAACCTAACACCTGCTCTAAGACAGCCTCATCTATTTTAACCATGCTTCTCCAACACCTTTTAGGCACTGTGAAAATAGAATAGGTTTCCTAAACCTAACAAACCAAACTAAGACACAAAAGTGGTAAATCAGAACAACAAAGGAGAAAGGGGACGAGAGAGGAAATACGCAGTATCACTGTCTAATAGAAAATGTCTTGGCTGTGAGTGACCAAAAGTCAGTCTTTTCGAACTCAGAATACCCAAGTCCTTAAAACAAAACATCTTTGCAGACCCCTCCAGCACGAATCCTGCACAACTGCCACAAATGTGTACCCTCATCTAAGTAAGGCATTTGGTATCACATGCCTTATTGAATATACACATATAAACACATTTATCACTATATTCCTTTTCACCATAAACCACTGTTCTGAAAACCACCACAAACAGCCCTTTTCTCCCCACATTATCGAACTGACTTTTAATTCACCAGTAGGCATGGCTCATAACCTCAGCAAGGCGTCAGCGCCATACCTAGTAGCATTAGCATGAGGATCTGCAAGGGAACCAGAAATTTTTCATCATGACACGTTTTAGATAACCATCATAACACAGCAATGGAAGAGCTCTGCACGAGCAGCAGAATCAACCTAAGCTCATGTCAGCACTTTGGAGCACACAGAGCTGCGTGCCTGACAGAAGGAGAGTATGAAGCCGCCGTGGTCTGACATCTTATCTCCACTTACATTTTACAAATACACTCAATTTCCTTTTCCCCCGTTGTTCTGCTGTATCCTGAGATCTAGTCCTCCTCTCCAGCTTAGGCTTAAAACACAGGTGGCATCATCAATTCCTCTCTTTCATACAGCAATAATCACAGTGATGAAAAAGCTCATGATTTCATTTTTTACTCTGTCCAAAACAAGCATGGCATTCACAACAAGGTACTTTTTGAGTACACCCTACTTCTGCTGAATGACAAAGCCTGGAAGAACTTTATACAGATTTTTAGATTGATAACATATCTTCAAATTCTCATTCATTTTTTGAAGATAAAATACTCCAGCTAGAGCTCATAAGTAAGATAAATTTGCTCAATAAAAAGGATTTTTTTTTCTCCCCTCAACAGCAAACCGGTAGTAAAGCTTGATATGTAGAATTAAATACACCCATCCGAGTTATCAAATCATTTCTAACCACAAGGACAATAGAAATCAGCTCAGCTAGTACATTACGTCAAGTTCTCCGATTTGAAAAATATTCTTACCTCGGGTTTATCTCTGTGTGTGTTTACAGCTTCAACATTCAGGAATATAGATTCTACTTTACATCCTGTTGATAGAAAACACATTTTTAGAATTGATCTGCTTTAAAAATGAAGTTATAGTAAAGATGCAATCTCATTTTGAGTTGATGAAGGTTAATCACTTCCCCCTTCTGATTTATATTAATTTCCCAAATTCTGAATAGCTAAAGCTATTGAAATGAATCTATTCCACCAGGTTAAACATTATTTTACATCTGATAATCCACCTCCTATTCTCACCTTAGCTTTATCATTATTTTCTTTGAAACAAATTCCCATTTTTAAACATACATGAACAACAACATTCAGTCAGAAAGTTCTTATTTCTATCTTTTTGTTTTTTAAACATCCTAAACTTCTTAGAATTTCATAAAACATGAAAACGATTACGAGAGGGTACACTGCATATTGTTAGCAACCGCATTCCTCTACACGTGCAAAACACGAGTTTTAACCCTAAATGGAACTTTAAAGTTGATTTCTGAAAAGGAACTTCTCCTTTTCACCCAAAAATGGAAAACTCCAGAGAAGCAAAAAAATTAAACGGTCAGAGAGACAACTGTTTCTTAGATGGTATAAATTGACCCACTTAGAAAATTATAATTACTCAATACACTCTGGCCACACCATTTTAAGCAATAGCTGATTACCAAACAGTCTCATCTCACATGAACATGACTTTTATAAGCTACCACTACCCTACACAACATTCATTAATAGTCCAGTTCCTCTGACATACCACAGAGTCCATCTCCTATCACAAACAGGTTTTCAGATTTTCCTGCTCACGTATTTCCTAAAGTCGTATATACTCCATAGAATTACTACATGACAGAAAAGGGTGATTTTAGCCTTTTCTTAGAAAGCACTTTAAAAAAAAAAAAAATCAGTAAGGCAAATATTTGCCTTCCCTTAGGGAAGCCTATTCTGGGAAACCCCATTTGTCATGAACACTGTGACCCAACGCTGCAGGAGGGCCAGCACTCAAGAGAAATAGTCAAGAAGAAAGCAGATTTTAAGGGGGAAAAGCACACGTCTCCCACTGGAAGAGCACCCTAGTCATCCTTCTGTTCACAGATCCATTGCAACCCCCAACACCAAGCAAAAGCAAGCTCTGACCCTGGTGCTGGCCGTTACTAAGGACTGGGTACACAGCAGACACTTCCACAGAGACTTCTCAGTCCTTACCACTAGCTAAGTTTAAGACCTGAAAAAAAAAATCATATGGAAAGCTTTAAATATAAACTAAAGGGACATGAGTTACTCCACAGTAATTACACTGTGCGTAACTCATTTTTAATTACCGATGTTCAAGTTCATACCTACAGCGAGATGCAGTTTCTCTTTCCTGTGTGCTCCCACACAGACCACCACTACACTGGATTGTTGGGTAAAAGTCTAATTTATCCTAATCCAACTGTCAGGCCGTAACAGATGTTCCCCTACTGAAGATCAGATGTGCAGGGTGGGAATGACGCTAGCTTCAAAGGCCAGGAAGAGCAAACCCCTAAGGGAGGTGTTACCCCCGAACAGGATTAGCTGGGAGGTATTAAACACACCATGTTTGATCCTGCATCTTGCCTCACTGGAGCCAAGTGACACATTAACTGGAACCAATGCTATAGAATATTAGTGTATAAATAGTTTACACAGCCCTTGTATTTTCAGATGGTCAAATTCCAAAAAGTAGATCGACTGAAATGTGCTCATCAGACATACGTATCAAACACTTGAAAAAAGAACCATGGCATTTCTTTCACTGAAGTCAAAGGGCAAGGACAGTATTTCATACCACTTCTTTCCCTTCCTCATTTAGTGGGTGAGTAAACACTGCAAACATCCAGGCCCTCTTCAAATTTAGGAACATTCACCCAACTTCCCACTAAAAAACAAAAAAAACCACCCCAAAACAAAAACCGCTCTGTGGAAACAGCCTGAGACTAGCAAGTCAAGAGAATCCAGTTTCCAAAAATTGACCTTTTAAAAAAGTTTTAGCTGTTCTAAATCTCTCTTTTCAAAACTCCAGCATGTCATGCAAGGCTAGGAACACCAGATGTCACCAAAGCACAGACGGTTACTACTTACTGTAGGACGTCACTTTAATTAAACGACAAAAATATCTTCAGACAAGATTTCGCAGTGTAACAGCTACTTACTTCGTCTCAACTTTATTCGAAACTTAACAAAAAACAAAGTACAGGTCTAGACTGCTATTTTTCAAAGCTGATAATCAAAGACAGATTTGCATTTCTGATTAATAACCGTACTAGCATTTTTTGGCAATCCATTTCCTGGTAAGCTGTGCAGATAGTTCTCTGTGTCTATAAATAATCTTCTGAAGTGTGGTATCAGAAGATATAATTAAGCCATCACTTAAAGAAAATTAACAGCAGGCACGTGGTAAGCTGAGGTTGAAACACACACAGAACTTAATTAGTAATCAGCCTAAAACGCAGAAGTACATGTTGCAACCCATACCCCCCAGTCTATAAGCTAGCAGCAAATCTCAGTTAAAGCCCCTGAGCTAAGCACTGGTACCAGCTGCTGACAAAGGTATGCCAACAAAAACAAACAAGGTGTTCATGCGGTAGTGTGAAGGTCCACGAGGAAATACTTCAGGAAAAGAGAACAAAGTTATTTAAGGGTAAGGGGAACACCCTTTGTAAGATGATAAACCTACATAAAAGTAAATCTGCCTGTCTTCTAAAAAGCAATACCCTCAAATACATGAATAAAAACTGAGATCTTGCTGTACCAGACATGTAAATGGCATGGGTTTGCCACAGGAATTAGTGAAATAGCATATGAACTGAGTACAAAAGAAAATTCTCCACTAGCAGTTACAGTCACTGGCACTGGCAGTTTCAGGCCTTCACTAATACATACATATTTTCTGGCATAACACAAAGCAAATGTAAACCAAAGGATTCATTGATTTTAACAAAGCTGTACAGACATACGTGCAACGTCAAACCTAATTGTTCAACTCATAAAAGAGCAAAATAAATTAAAAATGTGTTTTAATTGAAATGCTTCACAAACTTTACTGATGACACAGACATAAGTAACAGCGTAGTTACTTATACATTATATATACTTAATACTACTCACCATAAGCCACTGGGGTTAGCTTTAAGACAGTATGCAGTGGGCACTTCAGGTAAGGCAGTTGTTCTGAGAAATTGAACAACAAATTACGTATGAAATACAGATTACAAAAACACTTGGCTTTTCTATTATGCTACAGGTCAACCACTTAAAAGTCTCCTTTTATCTGACAGTGTATGTTTTCTTCCCTAGCATTGCTATTCAAACAGCTGCAGAAAACCAAACATTACAGCCTTTCAGGTAAGAAGCAGCTCAATAAAAATCACCTACGAAGTAACACGGGTAGGTCAAATACAAAAAAATTACACTTGCGTACTTACCTAGCACAACCACCCTCTGATGATAAAGGAAACTGTTATAATTCACTGTTTGGAACTTTAATCAGTAAATTTTCAAAAAATAGACCATATGTAATGTATCAAGGAAGACTTACCTGCAGGCTTGTCAAGAAAATATGCAAGCAAACAGCGCATGACAGCTTGGTGACATATGACAAGCACATTTTCCTGCCTTTCAAGTTCCATAATTACTGGCTCCAGTCTCTGAACAAGATCTTCATAGGACTGGGCGGGGAGGAGAAATACACAGCACATTAAAAAGGGAAAATTCTTTGAACAGTGTATGTAAATACAGTGGATCTCACTTTCATATTACTCATCTTCTAAATGTCATATTAGTGCACAAATACTGTAGTAATAATTTTCCTTAAATTAAGAACACAAGTCCAGGTCTTCCAGACTATCAAAGAGCATACATGTAACAAAATATAGCTCCCGCACGGAAAAGCGTTATTAAATTAGTTGCTATGATCAAGAATTTCCACAAAATCCCTAGACTTTAATTCACAGCATCTGCAAATGTACAGGTTAAGTCTTGCACATTATTTTCCATACCTCATCTTCAAAAGAATCTCCCTTCCAAGCAAAAATCTGGGAAGCCCAGCCTACAGCCAGCATACAAACAGTTTACAAAGCCTGACTTGTTCAGGCTGCCCTTTGAAAACAAACTATGGCCTTTGATGAACTGGCCTGGTGATGGCAGCCACCACCCCATCAAAAGTCACAAAGAAGGGAGGCAGACTTCTCTTGCAACCTGTCCTGCACCGCACGCGTGCAATGCATCTGCTGCTGCAGGTAAACAGCAGGGTTTCCCCAGGTGTGTGCTTAAGTTAATTTTCACATGCACAGTAAAGACAATACTTCCAAAAATGTGTCATGCCCGGCACGTGCGGAGAACACAGCACATCACCCAGCAGGGCAGGGAGTGACCACAGCCGAAAGCCTTCGCCCCGGTCCCAAGGCAGGCGTCCAAGGGTGCCCGGTGTGAAAGTGGCACTGCTGATTCAGACCCTGGCAAGAGAAACCCGGTGGTCTCCAGCCAGGCTGTGCAAACCCCTGGACCGTTACAGAGAAACTGCCTTTGACAAACGACTGAGATCAACTAATCACCCCAAAGTGATGAGGCAGTTTGAAATGTTTGTCACCATCCTAGAGGATGGCATCAGTCTGAAAAACAAACACTCCTTGTTCAAATGGATCAGGAGAACTTTGCAGCTCAATGACTGCCTCATTAGTAAGACAGGGGTCACACTGGCAAGAACACCGCTCCTATCACAAGCTGCTCTTAGCACAATGATTATTACTCTTGACTGCTGAGGAAAGAAGACCTCAGAGCTCTGCTCCCTCATGGCACAAACAGAGGAGCAGCTGGTCCAATTACTCCTCTGCCCTGCTGCCCCGAAACCCTAAGCCTTTAGCACCCACAAACAGCCCGTGTGACCATCTGGTAACTGCTGCGCTCGAATGGGTTTGCCTTGGAAAAGCTGTCAGCAAGTCCTTTTCCCAGAGGCAAGGAGTTTATTAAAGCAAAAGACCAACGTGGCTACAGATTTCCCTAGCATTTCAGCCACAACTGCATGCAAAACAACCGTTATCTACAGAAAGAATGAACAGAAAAAGGCGATCTTGGAAGTATGTTTGCATACGCAGTAGTTTGAAGCCTTGCATTCTTCCTGCTTTCTCACTGCAGCACCAGCACAGAAACGATGCCCACAAGATCAAAGCTCTCAATTGTTTTTCTAAATCTATTGTTTTACTTTTCAAGCCCTGAAATCAAATTAAATGGTCTGGGCTCAATCCTTGCAAGCTCCTGTGTGCTCTCCCCTGGAGAAAGGAACCACCTTTTTATTAATCTTAAAATTTATTTTCTCCTTCCTAAAGCCAGCACGCACGTATTCAAGAAGACAATGAAGCCCTTCACCTTAAGAGAGAAAAAATAGCATACCTCTCCTTTAGGGTATCTGTATCTGTATTTGTCTTGGTCTCTCAGTGCAAATTCAAGCGGATAATTTTCCTGTATTTCTTCATATGTCATTTCTTCACACACTCCCTATAGGTAATAAAAATAATTAAAAAGCATGTATTTCCAGCAGTGCAAAAAGCAGATATTGTTCTTAAATAAAACCATATATAAATAACCTTTAACAATTGTACTTTGCTACTCTGACACTTAAAAGACAAAATTGTCACACACGATGAACAGGACGCTCAGCAGGACTCAGATGTGGTTAGAAGGAATCATTAAATCCCTATATAAGTGAAGTTACATATATGGGCAAGCAAGGTCACATTTTATCGATTGCACCTGCTTATATATCTTACAGGTGCAGTTGGAAAGTGCCAGCTAGCAACCCCCACCTACCAAAAATTTTATAGCATTGTGGCTTCTACAGGGGAATATTTTACTGGGAAAGACAAACCAAGACTAAATTAATTATGGCAAAATTTAATAAAACATTTAGCCTTGTTAACAGGAATTAATGACAATTTTTCCAGCCTCTAGAACCAGCTTAAATGACTTTCTATCCCATCAAAGGCATACCATTACAAAATTAAGTATTTCCTTCACCCCTAGCAAACAAAGCAACTTATTAGACATTTAGAAAAGAACAACTTACTGCGTCTATCTCATTCAAAACCTTCCACTGCTCATAAGGCACTCCCAAGGCTTCAGCAGTCTGAATTGTCCTTTTCATCTGGCTGGTCCAAACTTTCAGATCTTTGATATTTTGCTCATTAATAAATTGTGCCAAGCTTTTGGCAAACTGAAAGAAAAACCATGAGACACTGGATGAGGGCTCAGAGACAACACACTGTATTCGGTTTGGAACACACAGGCTCTAGCCTCTGTAAACGCATTATAACTTTTCCAAAAGGCTCTGTCAAAGTTTTTGCTAAGAAATACAAAACATTCTGTTAAGCCAAGAGGGACAGGAGAGGGAAGGAAAGGAGAACGAGGAAGATACAAGTTTTCTGCAGTTCCTATCTTTACCTCCAGGAATTTTCCTCTCAGCTTTAACTTGTGAACCTTCCCAATTATCCAAGTCAGGCTTTTACAAAAAACCAGTTAAAGAATAAAGCCCTCTTGAAAACTGCTTTGTGCTGTAGGATAAAAAGGAATTTCAACCAACAGAATGGCAGACAGATAAAAGAGCACATACCAAATCACAACACATAAAGTGTGTCCATCCAGTTTCCATCATCCACATACGCAACTAAAAAAAATCCTTCTTAAACATGTTAAGAGGAGAAGGGTGTAGAGGAAGAAAGCTGTAATTACACAGCACAAACTGCACACATGCATAGATACACAGAAAACCCAGTCACACTTGTTCAGGAGGTACATACTTCTTTCCCCCTAACAGACAGTCCAGGATCTCCTCCTATTCTCCCTTTCAGATTGAGTTCACTCTCTCCATGTCGACAGAGGTAGATTGACCGAGGAGTCACATGGATATTCATGAGGTAGTAGACAATCCGGCTCTGAATGTGATCCATTACTCTGTTCACAAGGTAACTCCTTCCGACATCCATGATTTTAATATAAGAAAGATCCCTTTCATGAGCAAACAGAAAAAATACGTAAGATTCCACATAGTTTCTATTAGCATGTACCACAATCTTCCCACCCTCTCTCTCCTTATAAAACAAAGGGGCAACAAGTCAAAGCAGTAAGCAATCCTGCAGTTGCCCATGGAGTATGCATTAGTCCCAAGAAACAACGCAATACTCCAAACGTACAGGATGACCTCTATTTCTTTGACATCTAAGGTGCTCACATCACTTTCTTTTCTGTTCCCTTTACTTGCACTTTGTCTCTCAGATCTAGATCCTACTCTTGGAAAAATACAGCTATCCCACTGAAAGGAAGATTCAGTGGAATCATTCAACTGAGGTAGCTTCAAAAAGATATCCAGGTATTTTACCATACTAGCTATTTTTCTCCAGTTTACACTTTCCCCACAGCAAGTATTTGTCTGATTGCACCCAGGGGCCAAAAGGCACAGTCACTATTTACCCACCTCAGTTAACCCTTCCAGAAAAACTACAGCATCAGAAGGACCAGGGACTACCCTGAAGCAAGAGATTTTCTCAGCCACTCTGTCAACAGCTATTTATTACCAGTACTTTAATTTACCCCACCACTACCTTCTCTCAGCATCAGACAGGTTATAATTTCAGTTTTCACTGCTAATCCTTTCTCGTCTGAGCTACAATTTCAGACAAGCATCTAGTTTAAAGGAGCAAAAAAGTTTAATAAGCTGAAAATAGCCACTATTGCTTTCTAGTGATACGTTTGAGATATCACACTGCAATAAAACAAGAAAACGAAAACTTATAATAAAACCAAATGGAGGTGATGAGAAACAAGCATCATTACCTCATCTCTGATAGTGTTCTTTGGAGTTAATCATTACTATTTCACCCAGGCATAACCATTAGGTCCATCACAGAAATTACATGCATGAACTGATCTGACTGAACCAGCTTCACACTGCTTACACTCAATTACATTAAAAAGCAGCTCAGCTTAATGGCACTGGTCCTGAAACAAACCAGGAGCACCTGGTATGAGTGCAGCTCAAAATCCCACACTGAAATCCTGGACTGCAGCAAGAGAAACAGGGCTCCTCCTCACATGGTTCATCCCTACCTTACTTCAAGTGTTGAAAGTGAATGAAAAACAGATGAATGCTTTGGCATGAGGGCAAATAATCTAGCTAAGAAAGTTTCTCACAGCCCTGTATCTGCAGGATAATTTGCAAGCACAAATAAGTAACTTTAGAAGTCACATTTTTAAGACTGATGTGATCAAAATTCACCTTAGCCATGTCAACAAATGAAGTTATGCTTACAAATCACTCAGGTCTCCTCTACATACTAAAAAAAAACAAATAACAACCAACCACTACAGCAAGTATGGAATAATTTCTGAATGCTGGTTCTATCCCAGAAGAATCATACCATTCCCCAAGTGGGAAAATCAAAAAGAATATTGTCCCACAGCAGACTCATTAGCCAATTTTCCTCAAGCAAGCAAGTTTCCAGGCTACACCCCCAGAGTCAACTCTCTGTAATTTGCCAAAGGAAAGAGAGCTCAAGCCATTAAAAAAACACGACTAGAAAGCCCTTAATCCCCAATACAGGATGCTCCATCCCCTAAGGAAACATCTTAAAATAACTCAGTTGTGATCACAGCATTATTTCATCACTTACTTGTCAAGAGTTTCATCTAACGTCTCATACGAGTTCTTGTAGCACTCTATTCTTTTCATGAAGTCTTCTGTTGCTTCATCATTACTACAATCAACATAGTCAGGACTACCCAGCTTTACTTGCTGTTTAAAATAAAAACAGGAGAGTAGTACTTAAGTTTCTTTCCCTTTTTTATGGAAGTTTAAAGAAATAGGAAGGGGGAGAACACAACACAGACTTATGTTCTGGAAGTTAATTAAAATACACGTAAAGCAAAAAGAGCTATTCTTCATAGAATTAAACTTCTGAGTTAGTAAACACATGGACAGGAAAATAAAAGTGTCCCATTAAGAGGAGTTAATGATTTTTGCTATTGGAAGTTCTTATAATGCACTTCTAGAAACACTGAGCTACTTTAAACCTCTTTACTTAAAGCAGTTAAAGCAAACTTTCCTATACTCACCACAATGTTTGCAGCGATGACCTCTGGATCTACACATACTGACTCAACAAAAAAAGTCTTCAGTCCAAACGGGAAGTCACATGTACAGAAGGAAGGAAGAAGGAAGATGCATTAAAATGCCTCTGGAGACTAACACACACAAGCAGCATGTTGCCGGCTTCCATGCTAACCCCTTTTTAACAGAGCCATGCATTAAACTTCTCTGTTTACTCAGAAGGTTTCTCCAGACCCTCTCATCAGAAATTGTTGGCTTACCACTCCCTGAACCATCATGCTCTATACTCTTTTCCCCAACAATGCTTATCAGTGGAAAAATTTTGCACTGAGAAAAATTTAGGATGGAAGAGGAAGAATAAATGCAGAGGATGCAAGTTCAGCCACACAGACAGTAACTAATGCTTCTGAAATAATAATTTAGAAGCCTTTCAACTAATGGAGTAGCCTCACTTAAAAAGCTGTTTGTGTTTTGCTGTCTCAAAGGTTTATGGCGACCCAAGTTTAGAAGAAATGAAGGATTACTGGAGAACAGCTAAATGCAAAACAATCCCAGACAGAAGGCAGAAAGCCACAGAATGTTTTTGGTTTGTACAGAACTAACACAGAATTCCCTATGTGTTTCTGCAGCAAAAATCTGAACTGCACTAAGAACCGTATTTTAAATAGTTCTTGCTGACAGTACACTCAGAACTACAGGTCCAGGATGACAGAATTGAAGCCACAGCATAAAAGAGATTAGCTCTAAACAGTACAAACATTAAAAATGAGAAAAATGAGGACTGGGTGACTTTTAATCACAAACAATCCTTGAGAACACAAAATGCACTATTGACTAAACACCTAGGAAGGATGTGGCTCATGCTAATGCACTTAACTCTGAGTACAGATAAAGGCAAAACTATCACTGCCTTCCTTGTCCAGGCATTAGCTCAGAACTCCTTTGCTTTTGACTCACCTTATATCCATTTTCTTCACCAAATTTGTAAATAGTTTCTCTACGTTCTCGAGTTGTGTTTGTAGCATCAAAGACCTAGGAATAATTACAGGGGCAGAGAGAGAGAGGAATTAAAAAAGCATCATAGCCTGTGAAAAGCACTGTGCTAGTAACAACAAAAATGAGGGTTCAAAGTCCCTCAATGTGAAGGAAAGCAATGAAAACGCTTCCCCTTCCCTCTACCCCGCTACCTCAACATACTCAACAGGAAAACAAAAGACACTCCTACTTTACACACATGATTTTCTAAATACTAAAGAAGAGTAATATTTTGAAAGCACTACTAGCAGAACACTGTATTTGGAAGAAGCAACCACAATTTAAGCCTAACACATACTACAGGACAGAATCTTCCTCCTGGCCCGTAGCAGCGTTAAATACTAATGCATAGTCTTTTAGCGAACTTACACTACACAAAAAAGATGCTGCAATCAATGTGCTAATCAAAATGTGAGTGCAAAACTTTTAAAGGGCAGATCTGCAGGACTTGTAAATCCTGCCCATGAACTACAAGATATATGCAGCCATTTTTCTAAGCACTTACGTTTAGCTCTGAACACACCAGTGTTCTACCAAAGTATGAAGTTTGCCGAAGTATAAAGTTTACCTCATGTCCCCAGCAGAACTTATAATTATCGTTAATAGTTTTCCCTGATTAGTTAATGAAAACACCACATAGTTGTGTCAGTAGTCTTAAGAAAAACAACACTATGCCAACTAATGTGAATATGCAACATCACTAGTTGAACAGCTGATGTTTTGCATCCCATTATTAAATACTCAGATATGCAGCAATTTACTTTGAGTTTCTCTTTCTCTCTTCAGAGATTTCTCATGTCAGTAACACAACCACCAAGCAAAACCCGGGATGCTTTTTCAGTAAGTCTTTACCTTTCACTTGAAACGCTAGACTATCAAATAGAAACCCAAGTGCAACCAAAACAACAGATGTGTTTAATAGTATATTACATAATGCGGAGAGAAGGGGGACATTTTTCTTAGTGTTACTCTCTCCTCAGTTAACCTCTCAAATCACAAAGGTGGTTGCTCAATATGGCATCATCACCCTGAACTTAAGTGCTCCTTTCACTGCAGCAACAAGGCAGATCTAACATACGACTGCCAAAGAAAAAAAAATCTGATATACTGAAGAGATACTGGAATTATTCAGGCTGCATATTATCCAGCAGACACACACTGTCTTGCAGGGAAGCATCTCATGAATGTGTCTTCAACAAGAAACTTACAGCCACATGCCCGTTTTCTTCACTGAGGTACTGTCGGACGTCATTCAGCGCTGCTAAGGCACACTGTCTTAAAAATGAAAGAGTAAAACTCAAATGCTAGTTCAAGTCATTTTATTAATGCACTTGTGCATCGTGATCAAAGTGCCCTGCAAATGTTACATGATCTCTCTCAAAACCACATATTTTTTAATCAGCCCCTCCCCCAAAGCATGGGAAAAAACAACTGAAGTCAACCAAACTATACTAAGGAAATGTAGTCACGGCCATCTGCCTGAAAAAAGACCAGTCCAGTGCTCCTCTGTGCAACCAATACAACTATACATCATCACAGAATACCCATCAACTTTGCTGACCAGGATAAACTTTCACTGATATAAAGTAACATCACTGAATCGTACCTGCAACTGTATTCTTGTCCCAATTACCTATTCATAGATATTTGCTTCTTCATTTGATTCTCAAAAGAGGGAAAAAATAAATCAACTCAAGGCTTTTTATCTTGTGGCCCTAAGTTCAAGTGGATAGACAACTATTTTTCAGTAATCTACTTCTTCGTTTTTGAACTCTTGTGTAAAAATTGCTTATGTCAAAAAAATCTGTTAATACAGAGAGTAAAACAAAGTTAGCACCTAGTATTAGGGACGGAGGTGAAAGTAACATCCCATTGTAGTCACCAATCCAATATAATTAGTACTGGAGACGGTTGAGGACACAAATACCAAAAAACCCACCCCTACATACTTTACACTTGTGTTCAATCTGAAAAAGAATAAATTCATTTGCACCTTTCCTACCTCCCCAGCATTAGTATTATCTTCAAAGTCCATTATGATATCTAACGCATAATACTGGAGGGCAACATTAACACTGTGCACAATTTACTCATTAGTAGAACAAAGCCCCATTTATTTCCAATAAGTACAGTCTTTTTGCAGTGCCAACATAAAAACCTGTCCATTTCAACAGCCTTTCTATGCATTACTACTCTGTTTTGACTTCCAGACTGAAATGCGTAACTCTTCTCTTACATTTACCATATTCTGCATGCACAGCCTTATCTTAAAAGAAAAACAAAGGCTTTTCAATCCTGACCGTATTTCCACATTGGCATGGTTAATAGATGTCAGGAACCTCTGAGATTCATCAGTCAAGTCTTCACGAAATAAATATAAACACTCTTTACTCACTGCTAACTAGGCACATTAGCTCACACAGCCCATTTCGTATTATATTCTTCATCATTTTGTCTAACACGTGACAGAGAGGCATATTAAACGTTTGGCTCTACCTCTAAGCAAAAGGTAGGGGCTTGCAAGGCTAATGCACCTCGTACCTTTGGTCCCAAGGGACCAAAGAGGTTCTTAGGCAAGTTGTTGTTCTTTGACTTAACAATACTCAACTGCTGCTGAAGGGGAAAGGGAAGAGAGAGAGGACAAGCAGAGGGACGGCCACAAAAGAAAGTCCAGACAGTAGGAAAGTCCAGACAATTTTTATTCTTGAGCTGAAGCAATTAAGAACAAAATACTCTGTATTTTAAGTAGCCTAAACAAATTGCACTTCCATTCCTCTAAAATTTGTTCCTTTTCATTTCATACTGCGTTCTCTTACAACGCTTTCCAGAACACACACAAAAAAGACAATGAATGGTCAAGAAAATCAAAAGACTTTCCGATTTGATATAAGAAAGAGGCAGCTCCCTCTTCCTCTGACCTTCTCTTTCTTCTAAAGGTCTTTCCTCTACATTAAAGTACAGACTCTTCCCAAGCAAGTGGGGAGTCTCAAGTGCTCCATCTGGGCAGGGGTGTTCACGCTGCACCTTGCGTTGCATAGCATTAGCAAAACATGGCAATTTTCAAGGCAGTGCATTGACCGACTGCACGAAGCACCTCCATGGTGGCCAAAAAGACGTCCCAGGGAGAGAATAATAGTGTTTCATTCCCACTCGTTTGAATGGATAATGACAAATACATTCAAAGCACTCCAGGCAAAAAATTCCAGTATGCAAACCAAAAAGAAAAGCAGTTATGTGGGTTTTTTTTCTTCTTTATGATCCACACTAAAGCTCTAAAATGTCATTTTAGGAATTAGACAGCAGAAAGAGCCACACCTATTAGCTGATACCTTACAAAAAGGAAAGAAAAATAATAACTATTTGTTAAAACTGCTTCGTTCTGAGTGAAAATATCCTGGAATATCTGAAGGAATAACAGCAGTCACAGCCTACTGAAAGGTGAAAAGGAATCAAGTATTTACCTTCTCTGTATTTTTGATGCTTGAAATGAAGCAATCAAGAAAAAAATATCCCAAATTTTAAGCAGCCTAAACAAATCACTTTTCCACCTCTAGAATTCCTTTTCCTTGTCATTTCATACTGCAGTCTCTTAAGGGTCGTCTTGAGCATACAAAAATGCAACTTAAAGCAGTCTTTAAGAGCAAATTACACGGGGTACCATTTTAATACAATTAGCATTGTGTAGCCAAACACATTCAAAACTTACTTCCTGATTTTCAAGCCTTCTTCATTGTCAGGCAGGAAGAATTCAAAAGATTTATACTTTTTCACCAAATCTCGACGATACTGACCAACATTAAATTCTGCCAAGAAGAAATCAGTATTAGTGGGAACTAACGGTATTCAGATAAAAAGGACAAAAGTTATGACAGCTTTGAAACCAAACTACCTGCAAGGATAACATAATTTATCATGTACAAAGTCAACATATCATCCTATTTCATGTGTTTTGGGGGGTTGGTTTGTTTGTTTTTAAATACAAAAACAACAAATAATCATGGAAGTGGCAAAAGAACATTTGAGCTGTAGGCAGCTTCAATGGAGTCACTTGACCATATTGCTGTGCCTCTGCCTGCCAGTTTGCCTGAACAACAAAAAGAAATTCTTCTCCTCCTTTGCAGGGGTGGTTGAAAGTCTATTTCAGTAGTCTACAAAGGACTACTAATAATCTAGCTTTTTCTTCTGTGTAGACACGCAGTGAAATAATTTTATGACAGCACCTCCCAAAACTTTCAGCTCTTATTTAAGCAAGGAAGAGTTCTAAATAGGACTAACCAATCTTGCTTTTGATAAATGAAACTTAAAATTCAAATTGTGGAAACATTTTTTCAGAACTCTGCTCAAATATTTCTATTCCTTAAGGATCAGTACATACTATTTCACAACCCCATTCATTTTAAAAAATGCTTAAGTTGTTAAAAAAAAAAAACACATAAAAAAAAATCTGCATAAGTACTGAACATAATCTTACTGTGGTCTCTTAACAGCGGCCAAAGAAAACTACTCCTTATCTGGGCAAAGGTCTATAAGGTCTATGGCCATACACATGTCACAACATCAGATATGGGATTATGGCAAGGCAGTTCTGTTTTGCCACACACCAGACAATGACACTGTACCCTAACAAACTTCATTCGACAGCTCTGAAAGTAGGTCTCTGAAGTGCAATTAATGTTTAACTTGTTTCTGACCTATAGGTTTTCTCTGCTGAACTGCAAAGCATTTTTTGTAACATTAGATCAAACCGAAGTATTCTGTTTGAGACACTGCCAAGGTGTAACTACTTACCAGACTTCACTTCTGAAAAGAGGAAAAGAAGTAATAGACAATTTCTGAGTTGTAATTAAGAAAAAAAGACATAGGATAAGAGAGTTCAACCGTAAGCTGCTGTATAGATTGCGGTTGGGATGGGGGGCAGAGGATAAGGAAATAAATACTGCTTATCTCCCCCCAAAAGTCAAGTTTTGTTTTAATTCAACAATGTTGATGTAATTTTTTGTGGTCTTAATGAGCACTGGCCATACCGGCTACATGAAAAGGTGGCTCCTTGTAAGAAAAACAGAAGATGCCAGAAGTTCAGATGGCCAGTGTTGCCAGGCAATAGCACTTTAAAAATAAAAAAATTATAAATTTCTTAAGAAGTAACAGTTAGTGCAAGAGAGTCATGCACAGCAAAGGAAAAAGTGCTATCTAGTGGGACAATCTTTGGCCCCTATTATTAGCATCCACCCCTGGGAACAGTTTCACAAAGCTAACTGGTATCACAACTACCACACAGCCAGAACTATTCAAAAAAGCTTCCCAAAGTTCAGTATCTAAAAATCACACTGCAACACAATTCTATTCAGGCACCTAATTGACCTCATTTCCTTTAAAAAGCCCAGACAAAAGTCCTTTGTATTTTTAACCATTTCACATTCTAAATGACAGAGGATTTTGGAAGGAACAAAACACAGAACTGATGGCTGAAATGATTCAACTTGTATCAACCCTGGGCTATTTACTTCCACCTTCTGTTCTTGAACTCTCCAGTTTGTCTGATGTACATTAGGTGAAATGATGGCGTTTATCTTTTTCTCTGGTTTACATAACCTTATAATTTTAACCATCTGTCTCTGAGAATAAGACCACTTACTACATTAAACACACACTAATTTTAAGACATTAAGAGCCAAAGGATAACAGCTGTTAGGGCTACTCGATACTTCTCATGTATCGATTCAGTCCCAATCAACTGGAGGCATTAAGCAACGTATCATCTATTCCCTCAGTCAGTGAGGTATTTTAAATTGATTTCAGCTTCAGTAAAATTGCAGCACTGATGACACAAACAACAGGAAGAGTCTGTGGTCTTCCAAGAAAATCCCAAGTCACCCTTTCTAACAAAGACAAGCCATAACCAGCAACCTAGGATGGAAGCTCATATAGCAACTTCATGTTGTATATGAGCAACTTTACACAAAATTAGACAGCAATGTTGTAACTATTTTTATTGAGCACAGGCACATGTATTTTCTGATGTGCTGCTCACAGCAGCCCATGAAACTCTTCCTATAACTGAAGCAGACCACCCCTACCTACTGTACTGTATTCAAGATATATTCATCCAAGCATGAGCCAGACGTGGACAGCATCTTGTTTGTTGTCCAATACTGAATTTCTGCTTTTGAAAAGTTCACATAGTAGAACACTCAACACAATGACATATATACATAACAGATCTACATACATGCATATTATACACTTTATCAGCTTGGATATAGGCTAATGCATTTAGATTGTTATTCCGCTTCAACCTAATGGATAAAACTGAAGTCCCTAAATATCTGATACTGCTCATCAGAAGCATGATCCTGTGTGAAAACAGTCAAAACTTAGGTGATAATTTAAATCCTGTAAACTTTCATACTCCAACAATATAATGTATCCTCCATAACATCTCATCTAAAAAAACACATTAGACGAGTTTCTAAGACCTTAAGAGACCACCAACTCCAAAATCTATACCCTAGAATCCAAAGGCAGTTTAAATATAGTCCAGAACTCTTCATCTTGATTTCTTAGAGCTGCTAGGAAATACATCTCTGAATTTCCAGCCAAAAGTCTACACTTGAGTATGATCAAATATGTTTAATGTTATTTTAATGATTAACTAGTCATAACTATAAAGGTACCATTACTGCACCAGACACAGAATCACAGAACACTAAAAGTATCTTTTTCTTCTACAGAGATAGAGGAGAAGGCAGGGGAGACGGCTGCTCAGAACCTCCTATGGACTTAGGCCTTTTTTACTTGTCAATCTGGGCCCGCAAGATACCACAGCAGCTCAGGAACGAGGTAGGACAGCCAGGTCCTCGGCATGGCCAATCCGAGCTGTCATTTCCCATCCAAAACACACATATAAAGTCCTTAAGACAATGATAACAAGTGGCTGCTTCAGGTCCTTGGGCTCTTAATATTCAGACAAAGAGCTGTAACTCATTCCACAAATGCAGTTAAAGTATTACACAGAGAATTACACATTGCACAAAGTTCACAGAGGGAAAAAAAAAAAAAAGTCAAAATTTTAACCCAGAAGATTTTTACTACAATCTTCGCTTGTAAACGAGATTCCCTTTCACCTACACAAAGAAAACGGAAGGAAAAGAAAGAAAGAAAGGAAAAAAAAAAAAAAAAGAAAAAAAAGACAGCTGAAGAACCAAAGTGTTATGGGGCAAGTGCAAAAAGTTGATTTAGGCACCTGGCAGAACAAGAAGGTAAAAGAACAGTCACTGAAATTTGATTAATTACCATCTAAACAGAACAGAGAGCCTGTATGTGCTATTGCTTAAAAATAAGTTAACAAAGCAGAAGCATTTTAAGTAGGCAAACTGGGCAATGAAATTACTGGGAATTAAATTTATAGAACACCTAACATCAGCCCTGTCCTTCTGATGTAAACAAAAGTAAATCCATCACCTTTTGTAGGCACACCAATCCAATTTAAATAGCGTGTCAGCTTCTTCGAGATGTAGGTTTTTCCTCTTGCTGGGAGACCCACCATGACAATCAGAGTCGGGCAATTGGTCATACATACTGAAACAGAGAAACAGAAAACTAGGATTTACCATTAACATTCCCACAAAACAAAGGGTTGTGTTGTGGTGGAAAACTACAATCCATGTGCTCTCTGAGGAAGTGACCATTCAAGCAGCTCATGCACTGTGTCTCACTATTTCAGGGAGTTTCTTCAGGAGTATGGTGGACCTAATCGGGTTTCTTATGCTGTGTTGAATTTTGGAAGGGCAAGTCAGTGGTACTGCAACACTGGACACGTGAGTTGTATACAGGCAGAAGACAAGAAACAAAAAGGACACTGACATCTTATGCCCCTATGTACTCAGTTCAGTGCTTGCATTGAAAGGAAACAGCAAGGTGTACACAATTTTTAGATAATTTTTAAATCTTTAAGACAAGGCCTCAACACTGCTCAACCTTTTCTTGGTTTTGAGCAAAAGCAGCATGACAGATGCAGCTTAATACATTATAGTATGACGTGGTACTCACTATTTATTATTTCTCCTTTGAATATTATTAACACAAAACCCTCCCTTGAAACAGAGCTCATTTTGACTGTTCTTCGATGGTTACTAGTAATAAAGCACAAGTATTCTACACAATCAAGTACAATAATCTGATATACAGATACACATACAGAAATACTCTTAATCAAAGGCAGAGTGTTTAATTTAAAAAAAACACTGTAGGAAGTTAAAGTTATATGTATAAACTGAAAACCTTGAGGCATTTCCTTTCAAATGACAAGTTTTTGAACATTTTAATGGCACAAAACTATGGATACCTTCCATGAATCTATCACAGCTACAAGGAACTGCCTAAAAAGAAAGAAGATATTAAAGTGGCGCAAATATATCACCATCTCCCTCCATCCTCAGTTTCAAAGGGAATTAATTTCTACACAATCCACACGTGCATCAGTTTCCTCAGTGCCTTGACAGAAGAGGAGTCAATTCTCTCCGAAAGACTAAATCCCAGTGTTACGCCGTAAGGCATAACTAAACTGTTGTACAAGCACTGTGGTTGCCCAAGATTCCCAAAGCCTGGACTGACAAAGTCCCATCCCACAAAGTCACTTGCATGAGTCTGGCACGGATATTCCACACAGTAAACTCATCAAAAAAGAACAAACAGATTAGCAAAGACAGATGCACTTTCTTAGAACGCACATTGAAAAGGAAAAAAAAAAAAAAAAAAAGCATTAAAAATAAACCACTTTTCACGAGAGAGAGCAGGCAAAACCACACCTAATCTCAAACCCATGAAACAGTCTACTACTCCATGTAATGAAAGGTATAGGGAACTGAATGCAAACCAAAACAGATCCATCCAAACATGTCCTTGTCTCCGGGACACTGACAAAAGCTCTCAGAGCAAGCTCCTCTGTGCAGAAGCCTACAAAAAAGGAGGATAGTATTTTCTTGTCTCTTTTCCTCTTTGTCCTAAGTTCAGGCCTGTGAACCCCGACTCCAACAGGAGGAAAGCAGGCTCAGGAGAAACAAAGTCTATGAAGTGTAAAGAGTACAGCGCTTACTAAGGTTAACAGCTTTGCTTTTGGTTTTAAGGACAATAAAATAAAGTATTGAGATGAGAAAAATCCCTGAGCCCCTAGAAATTTTAGGAGAAGACACTGTTCTTCAAAGCCAATTTGAAAGGTTCTTCATCTGAAACATCCAGCTTGAGCTTTAAATAATTTTCCAGTGTAAGCAGTGAAATAAAGAGTTGTAAAAACAAAGACAAACCAGGATCTGTACAGAAAGGCTCTGTACACTGCCTCAGCTGCACCTGCTCTGCAAGGAACCCATGCTAAGCGAAACACGCTTTTCTACCCATTCTGAACAGAATTTACCAACATTATACCTAGATCATCTCAATTCTGCCCGCACCACACCCAGACCCACCCCACCCCGCCCCCCCCAGCATGAACCATACAAATTTAGCCTTCTCACAGAACATTTGTCTTTTGGTAATGTAATGATAAACCTATACTGGAGCAAAACTCCATTTTGCAAAACTAAGGGCTAGGAAGTTACCATGAAGAAACCTGCAACCCGCTTAAATGGTTGCTTCACAGACTACACCGACGACTGCTCTCTAAGCTAAGTCCTACTGCCAACATCGGTTTGCAACAGATCAAACAACATGCAAGAGGGACATCTCCTCCCACTGCCAAGCAGTCAGCATGTAAGTCTGGCATCACATGCATTTTCACACCAATTTCCTCAAAGTATGTACAAAAACTAGCAAACTTGCCTTTATTACAGCCCTATGCATAGTTTGACATGCATGCCTAACCTGTTATTCTGATCACTCTGTGCACCGCTATTTAGTGTACGATCATACAGCAGAAACCAAGCGAATTGTCTGCGGATCCCAATCAAACAAGTTGCAATCCTATTCTGATTAGGTGCCAGGCTGACCCAAGAGTGCTTTTCTTCTTTAAAAGCAGATGCCAGTAAAACGGATGCCCTGTACACCAGAAGGAGGAATACCCCTGATTCCAACGATCTTAAATACTCTGCTTTTACATAATGCCGTAGTCCTGTGAACACCTACACAGAACTACACAGAACATGCTGCTCTGGCATATACCACCCGTTAGTGCTTGTCTTCAACAAGAGGATGCCAGTTCACAATCTGAAATTCGGGACACTAAAAATGTTTGGTGTTTTGGTTTAGATGGCCAACAGTGGTTGTGGCCTAATACCATTTACGCAGGTGGCACTTTGTGACAAGCGCACCGATGCATTCGGAGGTAGAAGTCAAAGGCACATTTGGTGGCCAAAACAGCAGATGGTAACAGCTAAATGACAGGACTGAAAACAAAAGGACACAAAGCAACTATTTTTTTTGTACCTCAGTGTAGCATTTTCAACAACGCACATTAAGACTCAGCACAGCAAACACAGGGTTTTGTTTTCTTCCTTAAAATCCTGTATCATTAACAAGGCTTAATTTTGCTCATTAGTTCAGTAAAAAAGTCAAGACTAAACCAAAATGCAAAATTCTAAGGATGTATCAAATACCCAGAAGTTAAAAATAATTTCTTTCACTGAACCACAACTTTCTCAACAAAATGTTGCCAATAATCACTGCAAGTGGGGAGGAACGTGCATTCCAATGACAGTATTTAAAATCATAGAATTGTTTAGATTGGAAAAGACCCTTAAGATCATCAAGTCCAACCATTAACCTAGCACTGCCAAGTCCACCACTGAACCATGTCCCTAAGCACCACATCTACCTGTCTTTTAAATACCTCCAGGGATGGGGACTCAGCCACTTCCCTGGAAAAAAACCCCCACCTTGCTACAACCTCCTTTCAGGTAGTTGTAGAGAGCGATAAGGTCTCCCCTCAGCCTCCTCTTCTCCAAACTAAACAACCCCAGCTCCCTCAGCCACTCCTCGTATGACCTCTTCTCTATACCCATCACCAGCTTTGTTGCCCTTCTCTGGACAAGCTCCAGCACCTCAATGTCCTTCTTGTAGTGAGGGGCCCAAAACTGAACACAGTACTCCAGGTGCAGCCTCACCAGTGCCGAGTACAGGGGCACTATCACCTCCCTGGTCCTGCTGGCCACACTATTCCTGATACAAGCCAGGATGCCATTGGCCCTCTTGGGCACCTGAGCACACTGCTGGCTCATATTCAGCCGACTGTTGACCAACACCCCCAGATCCTTTCCCACCAGGCAGCTCTCCAGCCACTCCTCCCCAAGCCTGTAGCATTGCATGGGGTTGTTGTGACCCAAGTGCAGGACCCAGCACTGAGCCTTGTTGAACCTCATACAGCTGGCCTCGGCCCATCGATCCAGCCTGTCCACGTCCCTCTGTAGGGCCTTATGTCAGTGTCTCAAGACTTACACCTTCCTTTGAAGAAACGTAAGCAATTTTGACATGAGGATGTAGACTGATAAAAAAACCAAACAAAACACAAGTTACACATATCTAACCCCTGGAATAAAAAAGCCTCTTTAGTTAAATATTTTCCCAGCACTCAATTTCCCTTTTCACAGCACCTCACCGTAATTCATTTTATATGAAAAACAATTTGCAACATAAAAGCAGTTATACAGTTGCAAGTTGCAGAGCCAAGGCAGATTCCTAAGCACAGCATTCTCTCAATTCATTATCACTGGATTGTCTGGTTTGCCTCCAGAAAGGTCTCTACACAATCTGGTCTCAACAAAACAAACTCGTTTTTTAATACCACTTCACATATGTAACTCCAAAGGGTTTCCGACAGCCCCAACCTGTGGATGTGCTATGAACGCTAATTTTGCTAGAGGAACATACGCATTCAGAACAGCAAAACAAAACTTATAGGGTTGTATGCCATCATTTACTAAAGACGCTCTACGACTTTACTCAGTTTTTTTCTTTAAAATAGATGTTTGTAATGTATGCATGTAAGTTGCATGTTTATAAACAGCAGCATCAAAAAGAAATTTATGTTGCATCCCCTCGCTTACAGGGAACACACAAAAACACACAAAAAAAATGTCCAAAATACCAATCAGTGAAGGAAAATGGCCAAGTGATGAAGTGCATTAATAGCAAGTATTGCAATTTAAGCAAAGTCATTGTCCCAGTTAAAAAATTCTTATATACTACTGAACAAAACAGCAAGTTGCAGGGCAGAGTAAAATTACAACTGCCTACCCTTCTAAAGTTTACAACTTAACAGTCAAGGACAGAGGAAACTACGTGCTCATTTCTTGCCTCTTAGACTCTACTGTGAAATAATGCAAGATGGAGAAGGTGGTTGTGAAACAGAACTGGGACACTGAACAGCCTAGATCAGCTGTGCAGCATTTCATCAGCCCTCAAAACTCACATGATCTTGTGAAATCAGAGACAAGAGTTGGTATTTTTCAAGTTCAACTACTACCTAACATTATCAGCTGTCCCTTCCTTTCACCCAAAATGAGATTTTGTTTTTTCCTTATCTGTGTTAAATTTTTAAGTCAATTTTTAAGGTCAGATGCTTTTTGTATCAAGCTGCTACAGTTA